GGGTGGGGGGGCAGCGGGCGTGGGGAGGCACTTTTCCTCTGCCCGGCAGCTCTGCGGGACCCCAGTCGGAGCCGGCCCGAGGAGGAGGAGGATCCTAGGACCCAGGTGAGCGAGCCCCAGGAATGCTGCTGCGCATGTGCGGGAGTTGCCTCACCCGTTCGTATCTAGGGATCCGACGTAAGTCGGATCCACGTAAGTCGGGGACTGCCTGTATTTGGCTATTTAAGTGTGTACTGCTGGAAGGAGAGGCAGATAATGTAGTATTTAGAATATGTGCAGAAAAAATGTCAGCTTGTACTGTTTTTTCCAGTGCTCTTTAGGGGAAAAAATACAGACAAATAAGTCTGCTTGCACAAACTGCTTGTGGTTTGTTCTCATAGTGAAGTGGGAAAATATTGTCAGGGAATAGCTGGTTAGATCCATTAAATTAAGGCACTGAGATTTGTATGCACCATATGAAACTAATTTAATCAGTTCTGTTTCAGTATTCCCCAAGTCCTGAACAATATCTGTAGTAAAATTTGTGAAGGTTTTTTTTTTGGGGGGGGAGGGTGGGGATGGATGGATGTTTCTCCAGTTGTTAGTCTTGATCAGAAATACAAAGCACTTGCATTCTGTTTACGCCCCATATAGATTTATTTGAAATGTGTCTGATTTATGGTATGTCAAACATAGCTATGGACAATGGAAGTGTCTAGTGCAAGCCTGACAGGTTTTTTTATTTTTTTTATTTGAGAGATGGGGGGTTGTTAAAAAGGATATTCAAGATGTATTCAGAGTTTCAAATTTATATATATATATATTTTTTGCCTTTTAGAACTTCAGATACCTTGTTTCCCTCATGAATATTTTTACTGCATGTGTACATGTAGCACGTGAGGGTAGTGTGCTGGGTGGCTTTCTGGTCATTGAAAAGGAGAAATCTTTTTGTTTGAGTGTTCAGGAAGGACTGTAAAGAACTACATAGATTATTTGTTTGTAGAAGAAGGTGGTGAGTCAGATTTTGAGCCTACCACTGTTTTATACTAATTCAGAGATGACACTGCCACACTGACCACCAATTAGATTCATAGGGCTGGAAGAGACCTCTGGAGATTATCAAGTCCAGCCCCCTGCCAAAAACAGGACAATTCCCAACTAAAACATCCCAGACAGGGCCTTGTCAAACCAACACTTAAAAACCTCTAGGGATGGAAGATTCCACCACCTCCCTAGGTAACCCATTCCAGTACTTCACCATCCTCCTAGTGAAATAGTTTTTCCTAATAGCCAACCTAGACCTCCGCCACTGTAACTTGAAGCCCATTGCTCCTTGTTCTGCCATCTGTAACTACTGTGAACAGCCTTTCTCCATCCTCTTTGGAACCTCCCTTCAGGAAGCTGAAGGCTGCTATCCAATCCCCCCTCACTCTCCTCTTCTGCAGACTAAATAAGCCTAAGTCCCTCAGCCTCTCCTCATAGGTCATGTGCCCCCTAATCACTTTGCTTGCTGTCTGCTGGACTGTCTCCAATGCATCCATATCCTTTCTGTAGTGGGGACGGTGTGTGTGGGGGGCAGAGCTGGACACAATACTCCAGATGTGGCCTCACCAGTGCCGAATAAAGGGGAATAATCACTTTAGATCTGCTAGCAATGTTCATTGTAATGCAACCTAATATTCCATGTGTCGTCTTGGCTACAAGGTCACACTGTTGCCTCATATCCATCTTCTCAACTGGACTGACTGGTCCAGATATTTCAGCCTGGGTGAAATGCAGAAGTGCCCACTGATCTAAGTATCTGTGAAGAGAATCTTATAAGTTTTTTACTTAGGCACAATAGAGAAGAGATGCTTAAATGTGAATTTATTTTGATAGTTGGGGTTCTGAAGAAAGATACTTAATCATATTTAATGTAGGTTTTTAATGTAACTTTCCAACGTGTGCTTTGATACAAGTCAGTTAAAATCAAAATGGATTATTTCTTTTCAAAGGCACTTGGCATGTTGTTCTGGCATAAACATAACATTGAGAAGTCCCTTGCGGATCTCCCTAATTTCACTCCTTTCCCTGATGAGTGGACAGTTGAAGATAAAGTCCTGTTTGAACAAGCTTTTAGTTTTCATGGGAAGAGCTTTCACAGGATCCAGCAAATGGTAGGGTAATATTTCAGGTTATAACTATTGTTAAATACAAATATTTTGAATCTGAAGTCTCCTATCAGAATAAAGCCCCATTGTGCTAAGTACCAGTTTAATTTAGTGGCGGAGTGGCAGGAGGGAAATATATGTAGTCTATAGTATTAACCTATAGGCATTTTCCTTATCGGTTAATCGACTACACTGTTACATCCCTAATTCAAATATAGGGTTCCTACTCCAAAGAACTTAGTCTAAGAAACTTAAATTCAGCTTTGCATCTATATTATTCAGCCTTTTAAAGCTGTAAAAACACTAAATTTATTTACAAAAGGGGCATGAGAGATTTTCCCACTTTAAAAAGCTATGCATTTCTCTAAATGCATGGAAAAGTAAAGTATTCATGTAAAGTATTATTGTAAGATAATTGTACTTTAACTGTTAGTTTATATTTCTTTTACAATTTGAACTAATTCTCCTAGCTTCCAGACAAGACTATTGCAAGCCTTGTAAAATATTACTATTCTTGGAAAAAAACTCGATCTAGGACAAGCTTGATGGATCGACAGGCTCGGAAACTAGCTAATAGAAATAATCAAGGTGACAGGTGGGTTAAATATTTTTTAAATAGCTAATTGATAATGAAGTTCTTTGGTACAAATATGGCAGCATTTTACTGACAAGATGTTTCATCTCTAACTTGGAGGTATCATTTCTAATGGTAAGAGTACTGTTAGTTTAGTCTTTTGTACTTTCAACAGACAAACTGTATTTTACTAGTGCTATATTAAGTAAATATCTCTGTAGCAAATGCAGTAGCTGCGCAGCAAGCTGGTTACTAAGTTATCTTGTAAAACAAATCCTATGAAACAAGACTTGGAACTCTTGGTAGAGGAGCGAATGGAAAGGTACAATAAATTGAAATATCCAGTAATAATGTTTTACTAGTATTCTGCAGTTTACAGTACTATAGTTTAACCCTTTAAATGGCTGACAATTAAAAAAATTTAACATGCAATTATCATTCTCCATTTTTACGGTAAATATAGTTCGCAGGTCTATTTAGTTTTCTTAGAGGCAAAGATTCTAGCTACATATTGTAAGGAGGCAAGCCTTTTAAATAAATTCAAAATAACTTTTAGTGACCCTGTTACTTAAGAACTTCAAACTAAAAATTATTTGCTTGCAGTCTAGTTAGACCAGAAGTGCTATTGTTTGAATATGATAAACTTGGATCCAAGTCTTCCTGCTTAGCATTTTACCAAGAGAAGAAGAATTTTTCCAACTGTTGTTAAGCTTGTATATGTTATCATAATGAAAAGGTTTCCGGGGTATACAACATCTTATTAAGAAATTCCAGAATAATGGTAATTCATATCCATTTGTTTGTCGTATGACATTATGACTATAACATAATGATATAATTGTAGATAGCCTCGGCTTAACTAGTGGAATAACAGGCTAATAGGACCAAGTTTACTTATTTATTGTCTGTCCTCAGTGATGATGATGTGGAAGAAGCACATCCAATGGATGGAAACGATAGTGATTATGATCCCAAAAAAGAAACCAAAAAGGAGGTAACATTCTAGTTACAATGAATGTTAGTAATTTTTCCATGATACCTTCTGTACAGAGCATAACTAGATGAAATCTTCATATAATATTTAAAATATAGAAGATTTTTGATACTTTTTGGATGAAGCTAACCTTTACTATTTCATTTGCTGAGATATTTCAGTCTTTACCTCTCTTTGGGGAGGGAGAGAAATTGCTGATCAGCCAGTAAGAAGATATTTCAGAGAAGAGATCAGGATTAATCAATAGGAGACATTTGGCCCTTCATAGAACCATAGATCTGGAAGAGACCGTAGAAGGCCATCAAGTCCAGCCCCCTGCCCAAGGCAGGGCCAATCCCAATTAAATATTCTATCAAATACTCTTTCCAGTTTCTTACTGATGCTGAATAATTGGATACCAAATACTTACTTTGAGAAACACCAGTTTGTATTTTAATGTATAAAAGTATGACACATCCTCTTCATTCACAGCAATGAGAGCATATGTATCTTGTCTTCATATAATTATAGTTGGTTGTCACATCTGATGCTTTCATAGACTTGAAGGCCAGAAGGGATCATCATGATCATGTAGTCCCTTCATGTACACTGAAGGCCACAGAACCTTACCTACCCACTCCTGTAATAGACCCATAACCTCTGGATGAGTTACTTAAGTCCTTACAATTTTTAAATCATGGTTTGAGGTGGCAGAAAATCTGTCCTACACCATAGTTTAAACCCATGCTGCAGAGGAAGGGGGAAAACATCCCTGGTCTCTGCTTTAGGCTTTTGAAAAAATTTCAGCCAAAATAGTTCAGCTTTTCTAGACACAAAGGAATAATACTGGTTTTTTTTTAACATGGGCAAAGCAAATGAAAAAAAAACAACCCAACTTTCGGCCCAGATTTATAAAGGTATTTAGTATTGTGCTTTAAGTCCCTTTTGAAAATGAAGTTTAGGCTCTTAAATCGCTTAGACTAGCAATGCTGAGCACAACACCACCTAAGTACTTCCTGTGCTTTGGAAACAGGGATTTGAAATAAAGCAGTGGATGTGGAGGTTTTCCCTTCTGTGAAATTGCATGCACAGTTGGCAAAGTTGTAAGTAGTAGTGGTTTCTCCTGGCTGGGGCTAGGCACTGGAAATGAGTTCAAGGAGACCCTCTTTTTCCTGTGCACAGTGACACGCATGCATATGTTGGCACTCGAGTAGCAAGGAAGAGGAATCCATTTGACCTCAATGCAAAAGGGACAAAAGTAACACTGAGCGGGGGGGAAAGGAATAGGTTGGGGCAAGGAGTCCAGTGAGACTAAGACTGGAGGGTGGGATGGGAAATGTGACTGGAAGTTGGAGGGGTAGGACTGGGACTGATTGCTTAGCTGAGTATGAGGACTAGGAGCTGATGGGAGGCTGGTGTTGAGATCAAACAAGGAAGGAGAACTGGAATTGCCTGGACAAAGACTCTTCACCAAGGAGCCTGGAATCCAAGGGACTGAGATTGGCTCCCAATCCCAGTTTCCCACTGCAAGATCCTAACTAATGTGCAGGGAAAGACCGATGGATCGAGGACCACAGAGGATACTGAGAATGGGACCGGGATACAAAGGCTGAAGAGTGGAAGCTAGGGTTGGGGAGACGAGAAGAAAAAAGACTGGGAGGAGAAGTCACGGTTGAGTGAAGAGAATGAACTAGAATGGGATAGGTTAGAGTAGGAATGTAAAAGAATAGTTTAGTTGACTACTCACATTTCCCCATGCTTCTATCAGTATCAGTACTGCCTCTATATCAGAGGCAGTGGGGGCAGGGAGCCAGTGCTGAGGGGAACCGCCTTAAAAGCCAGTTTCCCCCAGCACCATCTCTATAGTGGCGGGGATGGGAAGGCAGAGGAAGCACTGCCTTTTAAATGTAGTAAGAGCTGAGTGGCTCTTACTCTATTTAAAGGGCAGAGCTGCAGTGGTCCGGACCCGGCACAAGCCAGGACTGCTTCAATCCCGGCTCACTCTGGGTCCCAGACCCACCCCCGCTGCGGCTCTGCAGTTTAAATGTAGTAGGATCCGGGCTGCCTGCACTACTGGCTTCTAGTACATTTAAACTGCAGAGCTTATCAACTAATAGTGTATTAGTTATTTAGATTAGTCATTTACTCACTACTTAACATCCTTTGGTTAGAGCACACTGGGCAGAAGAGATCAGGCCTTGGGAGTAAGAAGCAGTAGTCTGACCCTAGAACACCTCTTTACCCTCCGAAATGGAATCAGAGTTTCTTGAATTTTACCAGTCCTTTAATGTCAGCAAATATCTAGCAGTTGGTCTCATTTCCTTCTAGTTTTTGTTTGCATACAGGATGACAACTTATCACCTCTGTCAGTTAGCTTAGGTAGCCTAGGTCTTTGATGAATCGGAAGGTTCCAACCCTGCTGATGAGCCATGACATATCAGTTTGACAGAGATTTTTTTTTCAGTTCCTTTAAAACCTAGGAAATTGCTAACTGTTTAAGCAAACATTGTTTAAGTTGCAAAAGCTAAACACACTATTTAGGAAATGCCAGAATTAAGATTGCCCAAGTAACACTAATTCAACGTGCTTGTGCATATACATTGATAGACTTCTGTTACATGGTCACAATGTTTTTTCTCTGAAAACTCTGCCTCATTCCATCAGTTTACCTGATGGACCTGCTTTGGAGGTGAATCAGAGTTGTAGAGTAAAGGAAGCTTTGTCTGTAGGATCCCCCTGCCTCATTTGTTGTAAAAACTAAAGGGTGTTTAGTGCATGAGTTAAGGGGTTGCAGGAATAGAAAGGATGGTTTCATTATTAAGGCATTGAGCATTATTATTGAATGCTTCCCTGGAGAACTGGATTTAGCTTCTGCCTTACAAATCCTGTGTGATGCTGAGCAAATCATTTAAAAACAACTTTACAGAGATGCTTACTAATTAGGTGTTCCTCATTTTTTGACTTTAAGCCCTGAATCCTGATGTGCATTGGCTGTATTAGTCAATAGAAGCTTATTAGAATGTATCAAGTGCTATAAAATGTGCAATACAGTGTAAAAAAAAAAAGGCAGGTAATAAGCATTTCAGTCTGAAATTGTTTTTTTTTTTCACTTTTGACCTTAGGCCTCCTCTGTAAAATGGGGATAATAATTCAACTCACAAGAATTTTGTGAAGATAAATTGTTTGTGAAGGTCTTGAATACTGTATAGCCAAGACTGTCTTTATATAACTGTACATATAAATACTTGAGAAAAGCCAATAAGGAAATTATCTGTATTCATAGTAAGAGATAATAGTACTCTGTAAATAAGGCTTAAAGGGCCGAGTAAATTTTTTGGTCCAAGAGCCACATCGGGGTTTGAAAAACTATGTAGAGGGCAACAAATGTTTGTGAAATTGAGGTTGGAGTGTAGGGGGTTGGTGAGGCTCCAGAGGGGGGTGCAGGCTGTGGGGTCAGGCAGGGGATGATGGGTTTGGGGTGCAAGAGGGAGCCCTGGGCTGGCACTGAGGAGTTCGGCGGGCAGGAGGGGGATCAGGGCTGGACAAGGGTTGGAGTGCAGGGGGAGAGGGAGTTACCTCTTCAAGTAGCTCCTGAAAGCAGCAGCATGTCTCCCTTCCAGTCAGCTCCCACACGGAGTTGCAGCCGGGAGCTCTGTGTGCTGCAGACATTGCCCCTGATGCTCCCATTGGCTTTGGGTTCCAGCAAATGGGAGTAGTGGAGACTGTGCTTGGGGCAGGGCAGCATGTGCAGCCTGCTGGCTGTCCCTATGCCATAAGGGGGACACGGCACCATTTCCAGAAGCCACAGTGCACACACAGCGGGGGAACTTGAGGCCCAGATTAAAACAGCAGATGGGCAGATACAGCCCATGGGCTGTAATTTGCCTTTCTTTGGCCTAGACCCACAAACTGAACAATAGAAATAAAATCTTGGGGACTGAATGAAGCTGGGGTCCCATGGGAAAAACAGTATGTGATCATGTTGTTAAAGACAGTAACATAAGATACATACATAAAGTGTGGGAATGAGAAGAATTAGGTTTTTGCATAGGCAATCTTAGTTCTGGCATTTGGTAGGCCTATCCAGGAAACAGTTCCATTTCATGAAATAATGAAAAGAAGTTGTTCATTCTGCATTAGAAGGCATTCAGAGAAATTTGGGATGGAAAATCCTGTTTTCAATTCAGTGCGGAAGAATTGAATCTGGGTCCAAACAACTAGACTAGGAGTGTGTTTCTTTCTCATTCTCATATTTTGAGGTCATTCTGGACTGAGAAATCTTCCTGTAAAATTTCAATTTCAACAAAACACTATTTTTGATGGATTTTGTTTTACCAACTCTAGTGCTCCACTTTGTAACCTTATTTTTATATAGAATATGTGGAGACTCAGGAGCCTAGATTTCGAACCTGTAAATTTTTTTTTTTTTTTAAACAAAACTAAACAAACTCTAAAGGTTAGGAAACATTCTTTCATAGTATGTGTGCTAATGTTTCTCTAACCCAACTGAAAATAATTTTTGTAATGGAAACATACTCTGTAAACTTCGAAAGAAATGTTAAAGGTTATAACAGACTTATCCAACAACTGATTTGAGAACATAACTTGGACTATACTAGGGATGTTAGATAACATTTGTTTTTGTAATTTTCTAGTCATAAAAATTTTTCAGTTACATGATTACTAAAATTCTCCCCAGGGCAGAATCCTGGGGAGCCCTCTGCCACCCCGTGCTGCTGCTTTAGCAAAAAACATGCTGCTGCTTTTTAAAAACTGGCTCCCTGCGCAGACTGGCTCCTGCGTGCTACCCCACGCTGCTGCCTCTAATACTGAGGCAGCAGTGTGGGCCAGCAGCAGCCCCTGTTCATGGGGGGCCCAAGGACAGCAGGCAGCAGTGTAGAGGTTTGGGGTGACCGTTTCACAGAGCTAGTGCTCGTTGGGAGATGGCTTTTAAGCTAGCTCCCACCTGCCTCCCTTCCCCGCTGCCTCAAGAGGCGGCAGGTAGCTCCATGGAGCTAGCACACGCAGAGAGCCAGCTTTAAAGCCAGCTCTCTGCGCATATTGGCTCATGCCTGACCCCTTGCACGGCTGCCTCTGATAGAGAGGCAGCCGTGCAGAGGGTGAGGGGCAGGCAGCTCCATGTGAGCCAATATTAGAGACTCATAGAGTGGAAGAGACTTCAGGCGGTCATCAAGTCCAGCCCCCTGCCCAAAGCAGGGACAACCCCAACTAAATCAACCCAGCCAGGGCTTTGTCAAGCTGAGACTTAAAAACCTGTAGGGATGGAGATTCCGCCACCTCCCTAGGTAACTCGTTCCAGTACTTCACCACCCTCTTAGTGAAATAGTTTTTCCTAATATCCAAGCTAGACCTCCCCCACTGTAACTTGAGATCATTGCTCCTTGTTCTGCCATCCGTCATTACTGAGAACAGCCTTTCTCCATCCTCTTTGGAACCTCCCTTCAGGAAGTTGAAGGTTGCTATCAAATCTCCCCTCACTCTTCTCTTCTGCAGACTAAACAAACCCATTCATGGGAATCCGGCTTGAGAACTGGCTTCCTGTATGTACCGGCTTTCACTTGTACCCTCATCCTCAAGGCTGCTGCCTCTCTATCAGAGGCAGCAGCACAGTAGTGGGGGAGCAGGTGGCTCTGTAGGATCTGTTGGTTATGGGAAGCCAGCTTTTAAGCCAGCTCTCCCCAAACACTGGCTCCCACTTGCCCCCTTGATGCATGTGTGTAGTAGGTTGGATTAACCGATAACTCCAGGCTCATAGGTCAGTTGTTTGTTTAACTGTACTCCAACACTCCTAGGCTACACAGCTTTAATGCTCTTCTCAGGTAGCTATAGAAATGACCTAGCTTTTATCTTTTTTTGGTAAACTATTTATGATGTGGCATGGTATTCAAAAGCTGAATATTTTAATTGCCTTATCTGTTCCAACTTTTTAAGGGCAATAATGAACAACCTGTTCAGACCAGTAAAATAGGACTGGGTAGAAGAGAGTATCAGAGCTTACAGCATCGCCATCACTCGCAACGTTCTAAATGTCGTCCACCTAAGGGCATGTATCTGACCCAGGAAGATGTTGTAGCAGTTTCCTGTAGCCCCAGTGCAGCTAACACAATTCTTAGACAGCTGGACATGGAGCTAATCTCATTGAAGCGCCAGGTACTTTGGGTCACTGTCCTCTTTGTTTGTGCTGACTGTTCTTGTTCCTAAGATTTTTTTTTTTTGTATTCTTCTAATCTAGTTCTCAAGGCTGTGGCTGTATGGCCCTGAGGATGTCGTGTGGGCTGCTGCTATATGCTGATTAGGGATGTAATCGACTAGTCAGCTATCCAATAAGCAAAAGCTTATTGGATAGTTGGCACACTAATAGACTAGTCACTCCCTTCTCCCCCCTCACCCCCCCCCTCCATATCTTGCTGCCTCAATCTGAAAGAGGCAGTGGGGGAAAGAAGAGGGTGCTACGGGGAGCCAGCTTAAAAACCAGTTCCCCCCCCAACTCCAGCTCTGTGGGAGCGGGCAACAGCAGCATTCTACCTTTGAAATGTACAAGAGTCCGCTGGAGCTTTTGTACATTTCACAGTAGAAGCGTTGCATGGAGCCCAGTGTCAGCGGGGGACTCCTCGCAGGCCCCGGGCTTGATGCAGTGTTTCAATCTCTGAAATGCACAAGAGCTCCTGCTGGGGCTCCTATACATTTCAAAGGCAAGTCACTTTTGCCTTTGAAATGTAGCAACAGCCAGGTAGGCTCTTGCTACATTTCAAAGCAGAAGCCCCCTTATTGACTAATCGAATAGTCAATGGACATTCCATCGACTACTCAATTAGTTGATTAATCTAATTTTAACATCCTTAATGCTAATTGGGCCACAGATTGAGAACCACTGTCCTAATCCCTCTTTTTATGGGGTCACTGAAATCATCTGTCTTGCTTTAACACATCTGTGGTTAAATTGATTCTTCCTATGCTAGTTAATATTACATTGGTATCAAGTTGGAAGTTAGAAAATAGCCTTTCCTTTTTTAATGCTATTATTGTCTACTATTGAGGATATAATCATGTAAGACAGCTACCTCTTTATAAAAAAACATGCGTACATTTAATTCTTATAAAGGGGGGTGATCCACTCAACAGAGAACTTAATTTTTATATTGGAGGAAAATAGAATCTTATTTTATTTTAACATTTTATCTCACTTCAAATTGAATAAAATCTAACATGGTGGAAGTGATATTTCTTCGAGAGATGTCCCTGTGGGTGCTCCACATCAGGTTGGTGCGTCGCTGCTGACCCTTTGATCAGAGTCTTCAGAGCAGTGTCTCTGGGGAGACGCATGTGGGTGCCTTTACCTGTGCACTCCTACTGTGCAGGCATTGCACATGCGTGAGCCCCTACCCCTCAGTTCCTCCTCTACCACCTCCTGCTAGAGATGGAGCTCGGCAGTGTTCCTTACCTCGTTCCACATTTTTTTAGATATAGGCCCTTTTCACCTCATTTTTACTCCATAGTTAGTTGTTTACCAATGAATAGTTCATTGGTCATTTTTTTAAAAAAAAGGTTTTTTTTTTCCAGTTCATCCATCCCTTAGTTAGTTGACACCATGCCCGGTTAGCCAGGTTTTAAGCACTGCTCCACATGGCGCGACAGAGACGTCTCAAGTAGGAATGTTAAATAGCAGTTAGTAAGCTATTTACGATGGAATTTTCATCGACTACTCGATTAGGTTCGCTGCGGCGCTGACTTTTAAATGCGGTAAGAGCTGTACCTCTGCCCCCTCTCTCCCCCTGCGCAGAGATGGTGCTGGAGGAATGGGCTTTTAAGCCATCTCCTCCCAGTACTGGCTCCTGCTCTCCCCCCCCACCCCCTTGCTGCCTCTGATCCCCAAGTCTCAAGCTTCTACTAGTTGAAAAATCACTAAGACCAGCCTCTGATCCAGGACAGCAGTTTGAGAAACTGAAAAGACAAAAAGCCTGCAAAAAAGCAAGCCTCTTTTCTGCTGCATGTGGCTCCGGCATCGACATGTTTGGTGCTGAGCAGCTGCAGCACCGTGTCTTGGTACCTATAACATACCAGGTATTTCCGGCACTGATGTCAAATGGGGTCATTCGAAACCCTGCACTGAGGCATCAGGCTTTAAGTTGCCTGCCTCGTCTGCCACCATACCATCCAGCGCCAACACCACAAGCATCAAGTATACCATTGTCACTGGTATAGGTACTGCCATGGCACTGACTCTGTTAACTGGTTGCTCGGTGCCAAGACACCATCCTACACTGCAAATAGTATCAGTGCAGCCAACTATGGCACTGTTGACGCCTGCTCAACAATATATGCAACACAGAATTATGGTCTCCTCCACTTTCTACTCACTCTTTCTTGATACTGACCACCCTCCTGGTACTTTGGCATTGCAACCAACTATCTCACCAGAGAGATAATGACTGAGGAGGATGTTCAAGTGATGTTTTTGCCCCGCTGACCATTCCATCTACTCTGCCAGAACTCATGCACCACTCTCCAGACACAAAGTATGCCACTGTAGTTCAGTAATACATGAATGCTACTTCCCCATGCCATATCCCCAATGGCAATACTGGAGCCCTTGGCAGTCTCAACACAGACAAAAAATATAGTGTACCAGAGCACTCTCCACCACCACAATCCCCATCTCCTCAGCGACAACAGGCTCTGGAAGGTGATCACTCTAACCCATCACTGGACATATCACCAGACACAAGTGAATCCTTATCACCTGACGAAGCAGTCATGCTTCCTTCACATACCACTGCAGATGATTTTGCCCACTTCCAAGACCTTTTTAAATGTGTGTCCATAGAACTTAACGTACCCCTTCAGGAAGTTAACAAAAATCAGTGTGAGTTGACGGACATTCTGCAACAGTGACATCTTCTAAAATTGCCCTGTCGATTAACCCAGCTATCATGGAGCTGGCAAAGATGGTTATGGTGAACCCCAGTAACAGCTACCCCCACTTGTAAGCAAGCTTACAGGAAGCATTGTGTTCCCCCAAAGGGGTCTGAGTTTCTTTTTACCCACCCTGTACTTAATTCTCTGGTGGTGGAAGCAGCCCAGCGAAAGAGCAAGCAGCAGTATTTTAGATCTAAACCATCTGATTGCAACAGTAAAAGAGTCAACCTGTTCAGTCAGAAAGTTTATATGTCATCAGTACTACAATTCCAAGTGGTGAATTATGCAGCTCTATTTAGTAAGTACAACCATAGAAATTACTCTAAGTTCAACGATTTTATTTCAGACATTGCTGGGGCGAAGAAACAGCAGTTTAGGACTGTGATCACTGAGGGCCCTACAATCTCAAGGATGGCCCTACAAGCTGCCCTAGATGCTGCTGACACCATATCATGAACCTCAGCTACACTGGTCATAATCAGAAGAGCTTCCTGGTTCAATTCTGTCTCCTTCCCTAGGGAGATCCAGTCCACCGTAAAAAACCTACCATTTAACAGGCAGAAGCTTTTTGCAGCGAACACTGATCAAGTGCTGCATTCAGTGAAAGATTCTAGGGTAACGCTCAAGTTTCTGGGCACCCACAACCCAGAGCCTAGAAGTTCCCCCGAGCGGACCCCGATCGGGGGCGGTGAGTCACCTGGTGGTGGGGTTACGGGAAGGGAAGGAAGTGGCCCAGGGCAGAGTCAGGAACGACTGGTGGGCTGACGAGTTACGGGTGCATACCCCGTCAGCCGGGGCGGGTCGAATTGAACCCGCACCTTTAGGGCCCTGGGCTGGGGCCCGTGAGAGTGGGCGGGCCCGGGCCCCCCTTCCCCTCCCATCTTGCCTGGGAGAGGGAAACTGAAGATAGAGCCGTCTAAAAGAAAGACTAGGAGCACGGGTGCGGGTACATAGCACCGAGAACCTCGGGGCTACGCCGCGGAGCGGCGACGGGGCTATACACACTTATTCAGCTTCCATTTGAACCAGTACACATCTGTTCTTTTTTGCATTTATCTGTGAAAATGGCATTTCTTGTAGCTGTTACACTGGCTAGACAGGTGGGAGAAATTGCAGCACTCATGGCAGATCCCCTTTACACCACCTTTTTCAAAGACAAAGTGACCCTATGCACTCTCACCAAGTTCTTACCTAAGAGAGTCATCTTTTCACCTCAATCAGAGCATACAATTCCTGACCTTTTTTCCTAAGGCCCGTGCCAGCTTGTTTGAATTAAAAATACATTGGACTTGCACAGAGCACTTTCCTTCTGTTTACAATGCACAAGACCATTCAGGTTCTCTCCTAAATTGATTGTCTCAATAGCAAATCACAACAAGGATCAACTCATTTCATCTCAAAAACTCTCCCACTGGATTTCAGACTAAATTAGACTTCGCTACTCCCTATCAGATGCTGATCTTCTTTACAGCATATGAGCACATTCAACTAGAGCCATGTCTACTTCAGTAGCATTCCTCCATACTGTCCACATAGCAGATATTTGCACAGCCGCTACATGGTCATCAGACCATACAATTGCAAAGCACTATGCACTTACTCAAGGTCCTTTTTCTAAACAAATTATCTAAGGCGGCCCTGTCTACTACATTCATGCCAGATCCAGAGTCCCTACCTTCTTAGAAAGATACAGCTTTGTAGTCACCTGCTGTGGCACACCTTCAGGGACATCTCTCTCTCAAAGAGGAAGAGGTTACTCACCTGAGCAGTAACACATTCTTTGAGATGAGTGTCCCCGGACTCCACCACCACCACCTTTCCTTCCTCTTCTCTGCTTCGGAATTCTGGCCTCCTCAAATGGATCTCATCTTGGGATAGAGAAGGAACTGAGGAGAGCGGGCGGTTCACACATGCGCGACACCTGCACAGTAGGAGCGCGTGACTAGAGGCACACTCATGCACAGCCCCAGGGACACTGCTCTGAAGACTCCAGATCAAAGGCTTGGCAGCGGTGGTGTGGAGCACCCACGGGGACATTCATCTCGAAGAACATCAGTTACTGCACAGGTGAGTAAGGTCCTCTTATTTGTGTATTTGTCATGATAACTTTTTAGTGTGCATAGTAGGATGTGAAAGTGTAACCGCAGCTCATCGGTTAATGTTCACGGTTACACACAGGCTTCTGCTGCCCCCAGGAGCTGCCTTCTGCCCCACACTGCTGTGTCTGATACAGA